TTGTGTGCAGACTGTGGCATGAGAAGGCACGTACGGCGAAAAGATATAGGACTTGAGGCTCGAATGCCCTGAGCCACACTGGCCACAGACGAAGGCTCGGAGCCCTGGCTCGTGTTTCCACTTCCGAGCCCTTGGCGGGGCCTACTTGGGCTCTCTTGGGCAGACTTCCGCGTTCTGGGGCTGTCTTGGAGCCCTCCTGGGCGGTCTTTGCACTCGCGTGGGGTCTCTTGAGCCGCGCCGGCCAACAGGACTTACGGAGCGCCTCGCGTCCAGCTTCCGCCGGACAGATACCTACCAGGAGAGCGATTGTACGTGCGACGGCGAAAGTCCGCTCAGCGTGGAGGTCGAACGGTTCTTCCTGAGAACTCCCCTTGCACTCCTGCCAACCACGTGAGTTGAGCAGCGGCTCCGTTCCGCCGCTCTCCGTGCACGCTCAGCTCTGAACTGACTGTCAGTGCCCATGGGGAAAAGCGAGTTCTCCTCCTGCTCGCTTTACTTCTTTCTCTCATCCTCCTCCTCGTCCTCCTCCTCCTCCTCCTGCTCCTCCTCCTCCTCCTCCTCCTCCTCCATCGTCCCCAACCCTTCTTCTATGTATGCCACCCATCCCTCCTCCCTATCCTCCATCGCCGTTCCCGCCTTCCTGCTCCCTCTTCTACACTTCCTTCCGGTTCCCAACAGCTATCTGGGAGGTCCCTGGAGGCGCCCAGAGGCTCAAGCGGGGCCAACGGCTAATAACAAGATACGGGTCACAGAGGCTCAAGAGGAGATAATTCGGATGCTTGTATGACTCAGCACAGAGAACTCTCGGGGACCCGAGGACTCTCCAACTTGTGCGTCAAGGCACGGTGGCTACTTGAATAGAGAGTTCGAAAGGGCACGAGGTTGCTTTCGTTTCGCTAGTTGTCGTTTTGTGATGGTCCGTTCACTTGTGGTCCGATTCGTTTTTGTTTATGTCAGCATATTTGATGTTAAAATGTATCATTTCGTCGTTGTGTCTCGTCCTTCTTCTTATCATACTTGTTTGTTTCGTATTGTGTTGGCCCGTTCGTAGTCGTTTCTTCCTCTGTCGTTTCGTCTGCGTTTGTTTCGTCCTCTTTCGCTTCGCTGCATCTCTCCTCACTATTGCACCCTTCTTCTCTTACCCCAGAGGTATCTGGTGGTTCCCTGTAGGCGCCTGGAGGTCAAGACGGGCCAACAGCTAATAACAATACGTTCTTTGGATACGTACAATATTCACTACAGAGAGTTCGGCGAGACCTGAGGACTCTCCGACTCATGCGTCAGGGCACGGTGGCCAGGTGATATATAGATAACTCGACAAGACATGAGGCATTGGTTGTGTGTCTTGTTCTGTTTCGCTCGTCGTCATTTTGTCCTCGTTCGTTTCGCTCGTGTCCGTTTCGTCGTCGTTCATGTCGTCCGCTTCTGTTTCGCCCCCTTTCGATACGACTTCTTTCGTTTCGTCCCGTCTTCGTTTCGTATTCATTCGTTTCGTCTTCTTTCGTTTCGCCCACTTTCGTTTCGTCCTCTGTCGTTTTGCCCTCTATCGTTTCGTCCCCTTCCGTTTCGTCGTCTTTCGTTTCGTCCACCGCCGCTTCGTCCTGTGTCCTGTTTCATCCGCTCTTAACGCGCGCGGCGCGGACCCAGCACGCGTCGAGCGGGCAAATTGAAACCGGACGAGTTGAAACTGGACGAGTTAACGCCAGGACGAATCGAAGCCCCTGGAAACGCGCGCGGGGGCGGACTGCCGCGCGTCTCGAGCGGGCGACTTGAAACTGGACGGATTGGAGCCGGACGAGTTGAAGCCGGACGGGACGAACTGAAACCAGACGGAATGAAGAGCGGACGAATTGAAGCTGGGCGAGACATAAACCGCGGACGGACGGAAACTGGACGAAATGAAGATCGGACGATTCGAACCAGACGAATCGAACCAGACGAAATGAGAATCGGACGAAATGAAGAGGAATCTTCGGTGGAGCCCACAACGGGGCCACGAAAGGTGTGAGGGTGTGCCGAGATGGGCTGGGGGTCGCTACGCGAACCCCACCCCGCCAACCCTCAGCGGCTTCGGTGTAGCTCCCGATGCGGCAGCGAAACGTGTCAACGCTATGCGTCACCCACGAGGGCTTCAGTGGAGCTCCCTATGGGGCCACGAAACGTGGGAGGTGTTCGCCGAATGGTCTGGAGGACGCTGTGCGCCCCCCCCTCCTCCAGGGGCTTCAGTGGAGCTCGATGTATGGGGCCACGAAACGTGCAAGGTGTGTGCCGACATGGGATGAGAGACGCTGTGTGGCCCAGCCCCCAAGGGGCTTCCGTGGAGCTCCCCAGCGGGCCACAAACCGTGGGAGGAGTGCCTCGAAATGGGCCGGGGGACACTATGCGACCCCACCCCCTGGAGCCCCAAACCATGTGAGGGGTGTCCTGAAAGAGGCTGGGGGACGCTATGCGACACCCCCCTGGTGGCTCTGGCGGAGCTCCCCATGGGGCCACGACATGTTCGAGGGGTGTGCCGACATGAGCTGGGGGGCGCTATGCTTGGGTCAGGCATGTCCTCCTACAGGCGGATTTTGAAGGATCAATCATAAAAAAATAGCCAACTAATAATCACAAATGGTCAAACATAGTCCAAACAAATCGCCCCCATACTATTTTCTTAATTTGTTTCCCAACCATCCTGTGGTGTTGGGTCCTCGTTTTGAAGAGACGGTGCCCCGCGTCTCTCCTTCCTCCTCCCCCTCCTCTCCCTCCTCCCTCCTCCCCCTCCTTGCCTCTGCTCTCGGCACACCTCTCACACGTTTCGTAGCCCCATAGGGAGCTCCGCCGATGGCCCCAGTGGGGGGGTCGCATGCGGTTCCCCCACCCAGGGCAGCGTTTCGTGGTGTCCCCAGAGGGAGCTCCGCCGATGGCCCCAGTGGGGGGGGGTCGCATGCGGTTCCCCCACCCAGGGCAGCGCTTCGTGTCCCCAGAGGGAGCTCCGCCGATGGCCCCAGTGGGGGGGGGGGTCGCATGCGGTTCCCGTGCCGAGGGCAGCGCTTCGTGTCCCCAGAGGGAGCTCCGCCGATGGCCCCAGTGGCGCAGTTCGCATGCGGTTCCCCCACACAGGGCAGCGTTTCGTGGCCCCATGGAGAGCTCCACCGAAGGCCCCAGTGGCGCAGTTCGCATGCGGTTCCCCCACCCGGGGCAGCGTTTCGTGGTGTCCCCAGAGGGAGCTCCGCCGATGGCCCCCATGGCGCAGTTCACATGCGGCTCCCCCACCCAGGGCAGCGTTTCGTGCCCCCATAGGGAGCTCCACCGGAGGCCCCAGTGGCGCAATTCGCATGCGGTTCCCCCGCCCAGGGCAGCGTTTCGTGGCCCCATGGGGAGCTCCACCGAAGGCCCGCCCCAGTGGCGCACTTCGCATGCGGTTCCCCCACCCAGGGCAGCGTTTCGTGGCCCCATAGGGAGCCCCACCGAAAGTGGCACCCACAACGCGTTACGAACAATTGCTTATGGTTGGGTCCTTCGCCAGGATAATTGAAAATTCATCCTGTAGAGGGACAGGCCCGACTTATCACTATGCGGTCCCCCCCCCGCCTGGAGGACTTCGGTAGAGCTCTCCCTCTGGGGCACCGCGGAAAACGTGTGAGGGGCGTGCCGACATGCGCGTGCGGAGGGCAGAGGCAGGAAGGGGCAGGAGTCAGGTCGGACATGGCCCCCATACAGGGGGATCTTGGACGAACCACAACAAAATAGCCGCCAAAAATATTCAAAAATACGCAAAAATAGTTGACAACTCGTCCCCAGACTATTTTTAACTATTTTTGAATACTCCTCCTGTAGAGGGACGTGCCCGACTTAAGGCAGGAGGGAGGAGGTGCCGCGAGGACGCAGGGGGGGCGGAGGAAGAGGAGGAGGAGGAGGAGGAGGAGGAGGGAAGAGGGAGGAGGAGGAGGAGGTGGAGGAAAAAGGTGAGGAGGAGGAGGAGGAGGAGGAGGAGGCAGGAGGAGGAGGAGGAGGAGGGAGAGGAAGGGGGAGGAGGAGGGAGGAGGAAGGAAGAGGAGAGGAGAAAGAGGGGGAGGAGAAGGAGGTGGGAGGGGGAGGAGGGAAGGAGAGAGAGGAGGAGGAGGAAGGAAGGAGGAAGGAGGAGGAGGAAGAGGAGGAGGAGGAGGTGAAGCAGGAAGAAAAAGGAAGGTCGGAGAGGCGACGCGGGGCGCTGCTGACTCCAAGCGAGGACCCGGCACCTCAGGAAGCTTGGGGATCCCTTCCGCTGGAGGTCTGGGTCCTTCTCTGGGGTAAGCCAAGGGCACCAGCACACAGCTACTCCCCAGACCTCTCCTGGGGGTGCGTTGTGACCAGGATTTCGGTGCGAATCCAGCGGTGGCGGCGAGGGCCTCCGAGGAGGCCCAAAAAGGGGAGAGCGAGGCAAAAGGGTTTAGAGGTATGGGTACCTCTTCCTCCTCTGACTCTCCTGCTGCCCCAGACATGCGACGTCCTGATCTAATCAGAACGGCGTCCCCGAAGTCCAGACCCGTTCCCAGGGGCTGGCGCGTCATTTTTGATTTTGACGGCCCTGGGGCCCCAGCGAGGGCCCCCAGAGGCTAAAAATAACGAAAAACCTGCCGTCCTGATTTCGTTTACGGCGCGATATCATGTCTGGGGCTGCTTCCCCGCCTCCCTCCGCGCAGCCTGGCTCCAGCCCGGCGGCATCGCCCCCGCGTCCCCGTCGCCCGGCTGCCAGGGGCCCTCGCGCGTCGAGAACGTGCAGGCCAGCACGCCGCCGGGCCGCAGCCAGCCGCGCTCGAAGAGCGCGCGCAGGTGGGGCGCGCGCCGCGGGAAAGCGCCTGGCGGGCGGAGGCTTCGTGGGCGGGGCACAGCTCCCCAGACATGACCGCGTCGTCTTAAGAGAAAATCTGGACGGCAGGTGTTTCTGAAGTTTCGGCCCCTGGGGGCCCTCGCCGGGCCCCGGCGCCCCCTGGGGGGGGGAGGAGGAGGAGGAGGAGGAGGAGGAGGAGGAGGAG